CCTTCCTTATCCTCCTCCTTTAGATATAGAATTGGTATCCATTTCTAGAATAAAGGATGTTGTGATAGCTGAATATTTAGGATCTCAACCTTCTTTGCTGCTGAAGACTGTAGAAGAGCTCAAGGCTGAGAATGCGGTCACCAGAGAAAGGTTAGACAAGCAGGATGAGATGTTCAAGGCTCAAGCTGGAACCAACACAAAGATTGAAGGGATACCTTAAGCTATTCTATCAAGACTACCACCCTCTTCTTAGACACCTATTTTTAAAACTTGTTGTTTTTTATTTATTATTTTGTTATCATTTTTGCACCTTGCTTCTATACCTGTGCTTCTGCATATTGTAATGAAATGAGATTGTGTGTCATTTTACTCTGTCTATCTTTATTTATCTTTTTGATTGATGACAAATGGGGAGAAGAGTGATATGATTTTGATGTACCTATTCTCATTCTGACACCCAAACATTGTCTTTAATAATCTTATTTCTAACTTTAATTAACTATTTTGGGAACTTTGAATAAGTTCATCATGTTTCGAGTTAACCAAATTTTTCAGGAATTTAAGAATTCTCCAAAAGACATTAACAATGTTGTTTTAAGTCTAAGTTACCCAGGAGCACATAACAAGGATGATATATAAGCTCTGACGATAACCAGACATATATAAGTTTTGACCGATCAAGGCTGATGACCAAAACTTCTAATACTCAAGGAAAAGTCAAATCTGAAATACTTCTGTAACTAGGCATCTACTTCTATAACTAGGCATTCTGGGAAGTTATTTCTTTCATGTTGATTGAGATATTTTATATGTTAAGATTATTTTAAAGTCTTAAATTCAGGGGGAGCTTGCAAATCTAACTCTGAAGTTTTAAGCTGAAAAATAATTTTAACAGTATAAATTCAGGGGGAGCTAACAAACCTCACTATGATGTTTTTATAGGATTTAACCAAGTAAAAATTATTCATTAAAATACATGGTTTTGTCATCATCAAAAAGAGGGAGATTGTAAGAACAAGATTTGGTTCTGCATCTGGTCTTTAGTTTTGATGATAACAATACATTATTTCTTAGAGAATAATTTTGTACCCTAATGATTTTGTCTAGTGTGTAGCTTTTTCTAATAGGTTCTAACTCTGAAGATTTAGTGTGTGACATCATCAGATTTTAGAGTCAACCTAATTTTCCTCTCACGAGATACAAAAGTGCGTTTTACAAGAATAAGTCAAGTTATGGAATGCTCTTAGAAAATAGTTCTGATGAATGTTTGAGCTAAAGCTTCTAACTATGCCTTTGATAGAAGAGACTTTGAAGGTTTATCAAGCTCTTAAGATTCTGAAGACCAAGTTTTGAAGACTCTGAAGACCAAGTTCTGAGGAACTGTGTCAAGACTCGGAAGACAAGGTTCTGAAGTTTCTTTCAACCAGACTATTTATCCTTCTAAACATGTTTCAACAACATTTACTCATAAGCATATAAAGATTAGAAGATAAGATCAAAAAGTTTTACGTGAGAAAAATAATACACAATACAAGATCGAATATTCTTTCTACTACACTGATTTTGTGGAGTAAGAGTTGAATTATTGTATCATTTTGTCTCCCACCTTTGCAGACCGTTATGCAAAGTAACAACACATTTGTGAAGCTTTCCATTCCACTCTCCAACATATCTTTTGATTGCCTATGTAAAGAAGACTTAAAAAATGAATGATGCTGCTAATTCACCCGAGACTACACTATTCACGCTACAACACAACACTTTTGCTTAACATATTATTATTGTGAATAGAAAACACACATAGAGCTTTTGTTCATTTTTGTGTGATTATTGCATTTCACTTAAACTTTGTGTAATCTTCTTTCTTAGAAGCAAATTTGTAAACACATTTCTTGTATCTCATTGTCTGAGGTTGTATTCTTTGAGAGATTAGGGTTTAGTCAGGATTTTTGAGAAGACAGTGATGGATAGTCATTGTGTGTTTGTAATCAGTTGATTATAATGGATTAAGTCCTTATTGATAAGGCAAAACCACCTTGACGGGTGGACTGGATTAGCTTGGTCAACAGTGAACCAATATAAAAATAATTATGTTCATTTATTTTTACTCTTGATTCTACTTTGAGTGTTTTTGGTACGAAAAAGTTTTATCTTAGAAACCCAATTCAAACCCCCCCTTTCTTGTGTTTTTTTGCCACTTTCAAAAATTTTCGTAAAAGAAATTTTTTCGAAGAAAGATAATAGATTTGAGAAGAAAAAGGATAAAATTCCTATGGTGGTAACACTCTTGCTATTAGCTGTTATCATTGTAAGAATGTGGGACATGCAAGAAAGGTGTGTCCTGAACGTCTGAATAATCACGGCAGAAATGATAATGGTAATGCAACCATTGTGCAAGATGATTATGAATCATCTGATGTCCTGGTGGTTTCAAGCAATGACTCTAGCAAAGAGTGGATTATAGATTCAGGTTGTACTTGGCACGTGACTCTAAACAAGGACGTGTTTGAGGAATTATGTGATCAAGATGGTGAATCAGTGTTGCTGAGAAACAACAAAGCCTACAAAATTATAGGAATTGGACTCTATCAGATTCAAACTCCATGATGAGTCAATAAGACTATTGACTGATGTCAGGTATGTACCTAATCTTAAGAGGAATTTGATTTTTCTTAAAAAATTTGATAAGAAATGACATGTTTTCAAAAAAGAGTAAAGTATCTTAAAGATAATGAAGATGTCGAACTTTTAAAACATATCTATTAATCATTTCAAAAATCATTTTAGTGAAAATAACCGCGGCATTAAAACACATACAAGTTCAACCACTCTATAAGAGTTTATGTAAGAGTTGTATTATTTATTATATTTGATTATAAATCGTTATTAGTTAATTAGTTTTATTACAAATTAGTTAAAATTTATTAATAGTTTATGATCATCTATAATCATTCAAGCACTTCACTTATTTTTTATCTACATATGCATATTCTTACTTTGACACCTAGATCCAAAACAGCACTAAAAGTTCACAACCAAATAAGATAAAAGTGACCTATTTTAAATTGTTGCAGTAGAAGTTGTCTAAACAGTTACTATTACATATTAGAGGTGGCAATTGAATTCATTAAGGGAAAATTCATCCAATCCATTCATTAAAAAATCCATCCAATTTATTAACCACACAAAAAATAAGTTAATGGATTGGATTAAATCCATCCATTTATATGCATGGATGGATTCAATCCATCCAACATATTTTAAGGATCCAATGAATTATTTTTATTTTCGTTAGATTTATTTTTTTTAAAATAGATTTTTTTAAAAATAATTAAAAAACTATAATTTTTTTTTTAAAAATATGAATTTTTTTCTGTAAAAAAATAGTTTAATTTTTTTAAATTGTTTTTTTTTTTTGAAAAAAAAATTTGTTTTCTTTTCCGAAAAAATCGATTTTTTTTCCTAAAAAAATAATTTTTTTTTTCAAAATAAAAAACTGATTTGTTTTTCCAAAAAAAAATAAAATTTTTTCTCGAAAAAAAACGACTTTTTTTTTGGAAAAAAATCGGTTTTTTTTTCAGAATAAAAAGCTGATTTGTTTTTCGAAAATAAAATAAAAAATTTTCTCGAAAAAACAAACCGACTTTTTTTTTGGAAAAAAAATCGATATTTTTCAAAAATTAATATATCAATTTTTTTTGAAAATAGAAAAATGAATTTTTCAAAAATAAAATAAAATCAATTTTTTAAAAATAAAAAAATATTTTTTTTTACGAAATAAAAAAAAGTTGGATGGATGGATATCCATCCATTAAAAATATGTCAATGAATGGATTGGATGAATTTTATTCTTAATGGATGGATTGGATTGGATAATTTTAAAAAAAATTTAGTGAATTGTTAATGAACTAATAAATTATTTTAGTACATCCATTAATAATCCAATCCATCTATTTTGCTATCCCAACATTTAAAAACTTATCTTTAAAAACTATTTAAACTTATCTTTAAAAGTGGGAATAAATATTCCCACGTTTTGTGACTGGCTTATGATAAAAGAAGTCGTGCTCCGTAAAAAAAGGTAAGAAGAAATAATTGAATCGAATACCAATTTTATAGTGTTCACAGTTATTGGTATTATTGGTTAAGATAAGGCAAGGAGACTATTTCATCAAGAAAAATGTATATTTATTTAATTGAGTGGATAAGTCAAAAAGAGACATGTGTTATTCGTGTCTATTAATGTACCTTTCATGTAGTCATAATTAATTCTGGAAGTTTTAAATTACTTTTGAAATTGATGAGAAACAAAAAACAAAAACAAATTTTTTTTTAAAAAAAAATTTCAAAGCAAAATTATTTTAAATTCAAAACAAACATATTCAAAATATTAATATTAAAGTTTAATGTGATTGACGTTGAATTTAGTAAAAAACACTATAGGTTGATTTTTGTAACTGCCATCGAAAGGTGGTAAAATTATTTAATGTCAAAATTAACTTATTAATCATTCGATTGACAGAACAGTGGTGATAAAAAATAATAATATTGACCGTTAAATAAATTTTAAATATTCCTATTATTTGTTAAAAATAACGTGATTAACATAAATTTCGCCACCACAACAGCATATCCAAACGTTGGACCAGGTCTCCTTTTCTAAAATAAATATTCTTTGCATTTACGTAGACCTTATAATATTTTTTGCTGACCTAGATCCACATATTATTTTTACTATATTATATAGTATTTATTTATTGACATTATATAACTTTATCTACCTAGCTGTTACTTACGTGTATATCCTACTTTCAAGGAAAAAATATTATTCTTTTTATCAAATGAAGATACAAAAATACAATTTGAATTTCTCCTTTACCTCCCCCAAAATAGCTATATATATAATAATAAAATCTAACTAACATCACATCTTCAATATCGATTTTCCACGTCTTGAATATCACTTTCAAAAAAGTTGAAAATTTTGTTTTTATTTTACAATGAATGCACTAGCAGCCACCAATAGAAACTTTAGGTTGGCTTCAAGGCTTTTGGGTTTGGACTCAAAGATTGAGAAAAGTTTGTTGATTCCATTCAGAGAAATTAAGGTTAGTGAAACTACAAAAATATATCATATTGTTTTGATAAATCATATGATAGAGTTTCTAGTATCAGAGGCACCGGTAATCTCAGTTAAAGAATCCAATGTCTCTGATACTAAGATGCAGTCTCTGATTTTCTAGTATCAAAGACATTCGTAATCTTAATTAAAGAATTCAGTGCTCTGGTATTTTAGTATCAGAAACACCCGTAAATTTGTTGTCTATTTGTCTTTTATTTTTGTATAATCTCTACTTAATGTAAATGCAGGTTGAGTGTAGCATTCCAAAAGATGATGGAACTTTGGCTACTTTTGTTGGATTTAGGGTTCAACATGATAATTCTAGAGGTCCAATGAAAGGAGGGATAAGATATCATCCTGAGGTTGAACAAGATGAAGTGAATGCATTAGCACAACTAATGACATGGAAAACATCAGTTGCAAATCTACCGTATGGGGGTGCAAAAGGAGGAATAGGGTGTGATCCTTCTGAGTTGAGTGTCTCTGAGTTAGAAAGACTTACTAGGGTTTTTACTCAGAAAATTCATGATCTTATTGGTGTTCATACTGATGTTCCTGCACCTGACATGGGAACTGGACCACAGGTTAGTACAAACAATTAATTTCTTTCGTAATTCCTATATTCGGTTATATGACGACCGATCAGACAGACCAATCTCACCGTCTACTAGTCAGTACAGTTAAATAAAATTTGTGATGTCTGAACAGTTAATAATACAAGAATTGTTAGCATCTGATGAAATTTTTATTTGATTTTGGATGTAGACAATGGCATGGATATTAGATGAGTATTCAAAATTTCATGGTCATTCTCCTGCAGTAGTTACTGGAAAACCTATAGTAAGTATATTAAATTGTTCATAATTTAAATTTTAGTGAATGTTCATAAACAAAATCTGAATTCAATTCTAATTTTTTATTTTCAAATCAGGATCTTGGTGGATCTCTAGGAAGAGATGCAGCTACAGGAAGAGGTGTCTTGTTCGCAACAGAGGCTTTGCTTAATGAATATGGATTGAATGTATCTGGTCAACGGTTTATCATACAGGTAAATCTGGTTTAAAATCACCCTAATTAATCTTTTAATCTAAAATTACCATAATTATTTAATTAATTAATTTTCTTAAAATTTAAAATTCATGTATTAGTGCTTTATCTTATGCTTAAAATGCTTTTAGCAAGACGCGATAATTCTCACATTAATCACATCAGATAATTTATTCATGTATCTCAGCTATGTATTTCAATTTTCTTCTGATCAAAATTTATGCCGCAACAGCTACAATTCGCGTAGTACAAACCGTAATTATCGCAACAGCATCTGCGATCACAACTGCTATTTAAAATCATGATTTTAGTACACTTTTTTCCTTCTAATTTGACACAAAATCATGTTATCATCATGTGTAGGGTTTTGGAAATGTAGGATCATGGGCTGCACAATTAATAAATGAGAAGGGTGGAAAAATTGTTGCTGTGAGTGACATAACTGGAGCTATAAAGAATAGCAATGGTCTTGACATTCCAAGTCTACTTAAGTATTCAAAAGAGAACAAAGGAATTAAAGGATTTCATGGTGGCGATTCAATTGATCCCAAATCAATTTTGGTTCAAGATTGTGATGTTCTTGTTCCTGCAGCTCTTGGAGGAGTCATCAACAGGTAAATTAGCTTTTAGCTTTTATTTAAGTGCTTTTCATTTCCAATAGATTTAGCTTATATTTTAAGTGATTTTCAACTTTTTGTTATGGATGTAGGGAAAATGCAAATGAGATTAAAGCTAAATTTATTGTGGAAGCAGCAAATCACCCAACAGATCCAGAAGCTGATGAGGTATGTTTGTATTTTTTTTTCTTTTACTTTTTATTAAAGTAAAAGTAAAAATAAATTAACTATACACTGTTTTTTAATAACCACATTAATTAATTTGCAGATCTTAAAAAAGAAAGGTGTTGTGATCCTTCCGGATATTTTAGCGAATTCAGGAGGAGTTACCGTTAGTTACTTTGAGTGGGTACAGGTAATCATTTTACTTGTTCATGCTGGTGTCAGACATCTGACATAATTTTCTTCAGAAATGTTGATGAATGTTACATATGATATACATGGATTAGTTTTTCTTTTATAAGGTTGAATAGTAATTATTATTTAATTTTCAGAACATACAAGGGTTCATGTGGGAAGAAGAAAAGGTGAACAATGAGTTGAAGAGATACATGACAAAAGGTTTCAAAGATGTGAAAGAAATGTGCAAAACACATAATTGTGACCTTCGTATGGGAGCATTTACCCTAGCAGTTAACCGTGTAGCAAGGGCCACTGTCCTTAGAGGTTGGGAAGCTTAAAATCATAAGCTTGAAATAAGAGCTTTATCAATTATGTAACCATTCTTGCATATACATATCTCTAGATTAGAGGGATATTGGTGACTATTTTTATTTGATTCTTTTTCCTCTCTCTTTTGTTAATGAGGATGGTTTTTTTTCTCAAGTTTATTGTTATTTTTTTCATATTTTTAACAAATAATGTAAGTGTTATTTTAATATAGATATATTCAACATTCATGAGCTTGTTTATATTTGTGGGAATTTGACTAAATCTGATTTTGAATGATTCATGAAAACGCATATTGTTTGGTAGGATGGTGAGAAGTAGAGAAAGAAATCAATGAACTTCCATTAATTTAATTATTTCTTACAATATATAATTGTAATTTAAAAGTAAAATATGTTAAGTTTTGATGTTCTTCAAAAAGAGTTTCCAAAACGTAAGCCTCTTAGAGCGGGTGACAACTTTATACACTAATGACGTGTTTTGTTTGCCGACATATGTTCTTTTCAATACGAGACTTTCTACGGCAAAAGCTTTAGGAATGATATTGTATTTGAATTAATATTTTAAAAATCGAACTAAATCGGCCGGTTCAACCGGTTGAATCGGAAATCGGAAATAAATTAGATTGTGTCAACTTTTCAAAACTGTTAGTGAGATAAAACTGGAGTTAAACCGGAAAAATCGAATTGAACCGTCTAAAATCATTCGAATCAAAGAACCGGAGTCGGTTTTGTAAAATCGTCCAGTTCAAAAAAATTCATCAAATTGACCATTTTAAAATTTTTAAAATATTTTAATATGTTAATATCAAAACTTAACATATATTTTCAATCACAAAAGAAAAAATTGGATATTCTTTTACAACCATTAAAACTTATATATTTTGTCACTTTATTATAGTTTTTCTTTAAACTACACTCCATCATCACCATGTCGTCTCTTTTAAATATAATCACAATATTCAACTATATTGATTGTCGTTAAAATCAATAGTGTTTGTTGTTGTCAATTAAAACTTGTTTGCTTTAATTCAACTCAAATTCAATTTTTTGTTGTTTAATGAAATATATTGTATTATTTATATTTTGATATTCTATCTTATTTAATTTAGGTATTCTTAATTATTTGAACTTTATTTTTGTTATTATATTCTATCATTTTTATTTTGGTTTGAATTAGTTTAATTTATTTTATTGTAATTCTTTAATTTGGTCAAAATATTCTTAAATGATGGTTGAAATGAAGTGTAGAAGTATGTTATGTTATGTATTATTGATATTGTTATATTAAATTTGTAATGGATTTTTGAAATATTTTGTTATTAAGTTGAAAACATATAATAATGTGTGACATATCTATGAAATTTAGTTTCATATTATTAGTTTATTTAATAAACGGTTCGACCGTAGGTTTAATCGGTTTAACTAATTGAACCTTAAAGTGTAAGTGTCACCGGTCCGATCTCTGGTCCGGTTTTTAAAACATTGATTTGAATGTCATTTTTTACTTTTATGATGACTCCTTTTAAGACTGCTCAGTTCCTTCTTTTAAGAGATATAACTCTTCCCTGCATCTTTTTTTAATAACTTCTATAGGTGCAATGTTAGGTCTTCCATGTTAGCTCTCATATCTTGATAGGAATCATTGCTTTAATTTTGTACGTAAGTCGAAACGTGGTCTCCTTTGTGAAAAAGTAAGGGTGGTCCAATATGCCCAATGTCTAGTGAAAGTGTGTAAGTTCATTCAACCAAATTTCTTTGGTGTTGTCTAATCTATGTTGGAGGCCTCGTAATAGAACTCAATTTACTGATTTGGCCTAACTTTTAATTTGAGGGTGTTTTATGAAAGTAAAGTGTTGGGTCACCCATAAATCCTCCAGCTACTCTCTAAATCTTCTATTTATGAATTGAGTATCATTGTCTGTCACCATAGTTTGTAAGATAATGAATCTAATGAGAAAATATCTTTTATTGAAGCATATAATGTTATGCACTTATGCCCCATAAATTTTTCTAGAGTCTCCGCCTCGATCTACTTCGTGTAGTAATAAACAATAACGATCACAAACTCATATGTACATGCTTGATTAGGAAAGTGCCTTAGGATGTTCATTCGCCACCAAGCAAATGGTTAAGAAGGAGATAAACTACTTATTTTTGTTTGGCAAGGTATATGCCATCATATTTATGGCACTTGCTACATTTTTGAACATGTATCCTAGTGTCCTCGTTTATAGTTGGACAAAAATATTCGACCTTGAGGGTTTTCTTTGCCAATGTTTTTCCACCTAGGTGTTATTATGTGAAGCCTTTATGAACTTACCTTAAAAAATCTCTTCCTTCTTTCGTTTTTAAACATTTTAATAGAGGATTGATGAATCCTCATCAACATAAGTCTCCTTCCATGAGCGAGTATGAACAAAATTTCTTTTTTATCCTTGATGCTTCATTTTTGTCTTTTGGCAATGATGTTGTATTTATGTACTTTATGATATATGGGTCATCCATCAAACGTGGTGGTCCCTTTTCCATTTCTTCTTTAGTCACATTTACCTCATTTATGTTAGGGTTTAGTAGTGTCTTGTGTATGAAGGTTTTATTGCAATCTCAGCCTTTAGAACTGGCTAGTTTAGACAAAAGGTTTGCCTTTTGTTGCGGTGAGATTCAGATACCAAAGCTATAAGATCAGCTTGCCTCACAAAATAAGATATCACCACCGAACTTTTACTTTATCCAAGGGAATGGAGAAAAGATAGACCCTAAGTAAAATGCAAAGCAAAAAGCAAGGCTTAAAGGTAAGCAAAGAGAGATCAAAGGTACAGGGGTTAATTATACTAAGGGAAGGTACTAGCATCCTAAGCATTTTTAGTACTCTACAAAAACCTCTTGAAATATTTGTATTTTGACTAAAACTGTTTGCTAAAGGTAAAGATGGTCAAAGAAAAGAAAATGTGGAAAAAGAAAAAGGTAGCTCGCTAGGATCTCACAATTCTATGCCTATGAACCAAAACAAAGAATAATGACAAACAGATAAGGGATATGTACAATGACAATAAGTCAACATACAATCCCTCCCTTGGATTAAGATAACAAGGATAGAAACAAAGCAACAGATACATCGAAGAACATCATCTAAATGGCAAGCAGATAAGGCACATACACAATACACGGAAAAGCATCATGCATGGTCAAACAGACAAAATAGCACAAAATACGCATGAAAAAAATATCATGGTAATTAGACAGTGAAAAGTCAACAAAAAAAAAGCATCGTGTAATCGACAGACAAAGATACAGAACTAACATGCCATGCAAGTTGAAAGTAATTTTATCAAATAAACAAAACTAAAACAACTAAAAGAAACAACTAACAGTATATGCCAATATATGAGAGGTAAAAGCAACGAAATTAACATGGCATCATGCTTGAGAAAAACAATGCTATCAAACTCGGCATTGGAACCAAGTATAACATGAACGACAACTTGCAACAACCATGCATAATGCTCAGAGAAATCAAAATATTCACATACAAAACATAATCCACAACAATTCGAGCAAATCGAAATTAATACGCAAAGCAGCACCAAAATGTAATGTACCTAAAACCTCACTCGAAACATTACCACAATGTTGAATCGATAATAGCGCAGCATGAGACAAACAGAAACATCGCGAGATCAAAACGAAATCATACAAAGGCAAACACCGAAACAAAAATCAACATAATACAATCATGAAAAGAAATGTTGTTACCGCAGTACCGATTCATACGTTATGTTGTTGCTGTTAGAAACGAAGAAGAACAAAGCTAACAAATGATGAGTTGTTTTGATGTCGCTGGTGTGTCGGCGTTGAGGAAGACATAGGTGCAGGGTTTTTTTTTTTTATATTAGAAAGTTTGCATCCATGTCGTATGGATAGTGTGAGTTCAAAATGAATATGAATGGTGGAAACAAGGTAGGAAGTATATGAAGATAATGTTGGTAAGTGGAGGGTAGACGTGCGAATTTTATGGAGAAGAGGAGTTACAATATGTATGGAAAGGTGTGAGGAGATCACTCTTATGAAAAGTGCAGGAGATATTGAGAGGATCTGTGGGAGGTGAGTGTGATTTTGTTGTGATGGTGGTGAGACATGTGGTTTAAGGTGGCATGTTGCGTGGGGTGGTCCGTATCCCTTCCCCTTGCCAATACTTTTTTTTCTCTTTTTCAATTCAAAACTTGTGGGTTAAGAATATAGTGGAAAAGCATTTGTCTTATATGGAGAGAGGGACTTATGAGAGGAAGAGGATAATGTTGTGGTCCCTCCTGTTGGTGTGTTGCACAAAGGGTAGTCTTTAGATGGTTGTGGCATGTTTAGTTGTATCATTTTACAAAAATGGAAAAAAAAAAAAAAAAAAACCTTTCCAAGTTGTTAATTAAGTATTGTTAAAAATGAAATAAACAAAAAATATATAAATATTAAAATAAAAGAAAATATCAAATAAAAATAAATATTAACTATTAAAAATAAAAATCTAAAATAAAAATATGATTGATAGAAATAATTATTAATTAAGAAAAAGTAAATAAAAACGGTTAAAATGATAAATCGGACCGGCATCGAAGTGCTCAGAAAAATGAATGAACACACCACAATGATAAGCGTGAAATATACGTATTGAAAAAATACAATGTTTGGTCAAATTTCGAAATAAATTTTACCCGCTAAAACAGCTTAAACTATCTAAAATGCGACCGAAAAGTGGTCGAAAAATTTAAATCAGCACGTTAGGTTAAACTACGTGAAACGTAGATTAATATCATCGTTGTTTGCAAGCTCGGTTTTAAAAATTTTCGTCCACTGGGTTTTCGAACAGTTAACTTTATTTGTCTGGTTCGGCTGTAAATTCCAACAAATTTATTTCCACTGATAAATTGGGTATTATGCAAGATGAAAATGTGTGATATACTATGCAGACAATGCAAAACAAAAAATATAGAATCTTAGGGTAAAAAGTTAGGGTATGA